CACCCCCTAATCCCAGTGATGATCTCACTACAGTTACTTCATTCAGCAGACATGAAAAGTTTGGGGGAATCCATAATCACCGCCTTTGCTCCAGGTTTGAAGATATGCAAAATATAAAATAGTCGATTATCATCCTTGCCTCTGTTTGAAGACAGAAAAAAAAAAGAATAGTTTTTTTAACAGCCTCCCTTCCATCTATTTCTTCCAAGCACGGTGTACAAATAAAATGTCTCCCCTGTCCCGTCTACAGCTCTTGTTACATGGGGCTTCTGTTCTATTACGATGTTTGCCTGGTCGTATTTAATCTTAGGGGGAAAAAAAAAACGAAAAAAAAAACGTCACCTAACTTTCTTCGCCCATTATTTATTAATCAATAATTAATGTTATCGCCCGCGAATGCGTGCACATTAGCGACAGGAAGCCGATAAACGCGTTTATAATGTACAGCAATCGTTCGACGTCGTGATAAAAGCGAACAGTGGAAGCGAGGTCTTGAAACAATGCATCGCAGCCGAGCGGACCGAGATTACTGGAGTCTGGCAACGCGGCGGTGCTGTTCGACTTGATTGGCTGCATGTGAGGAGCAACAGTCTGCGCGCACGTCAATCAATGAATGACGTCAGCAAGAGAAAGTCTGTACTGTCTTACGATTTCCATCGATTCATATGATCAGGAACTGGGGCGGGGGGAGGGAGGTGGTTCATGTAATTAATATAAAGCTGTCTGATTGGTTCCTTCGTGTCATGTCTCACATTTATACTTACAAGATCTCACGTTTGCGATGTTATCTTTGTATGCGAGCCGCTTCGTGGCCCACACTGCCTAATGACCGAGCGAGATGCGGAGAGGAAATCCCAATGGGGTTGCAAGGTATGATGGTGCCTACAGCATTAGTTGTATTCATATAAAGTCATAAAGTTAAAGTTGCATTAAATTTAAAAAAAAAAACCCACCAACAATTTATAAACTCAGTAATGTTAGCCGTATCAGATAACAATCTCAGCGAGACGACATGTGTTCATTATTGTCGCTCAACTTTGCGATTGAATGTGGCGCCCTCCTAACCTCGCCATGGACCATATTTTAAAAAAAAACTTATAAAAAAAAAAATCAATTCAGCCTAAAGTAAGTCCACAAAAAAATAAATATAAAACCCCCCCCCCCCCCACACCCCTGGCATCAGTTAGGTTTTTTTAGGTTTTTTTTTGTTTTTTTCTACTGCACTCAACACTCTGTTGGTCAAACACCATGGGAGTCCCGCACAGCTTTCCAATTTAACACAACGTGCCTTTTGGTCAAACACCATGGGAGTCCCGCACAGCTTTCCAATTTAACACAACGTGCCTTTTGGTCAAACACCATGGGAGTCCCGCACAGCTTTTCAATTTAACACGACGTGCCTTTTGGTCAAACACCATGTGAGTCCCGCACAGCTTTTCAATTCAACACAACGTGCCTTTTGGTCAAACACCATGGGAGTCCCGCACAGCATTTCAATTCAACACAACGTGCCTTTTGGTCAAACACCATGGAAGTGCCGCACAGCATTTCAATTTAACACGACGTGCCTTTTGGTCAAACACCATGTGAGTCCCGCACAGCTTTTCAATTTAACACAACGTGCCTTTTGGTCAAACACCATGTGAGTCCCGTACAGCTTTTCAATTCAACACAACGTGCCTTTTGGTCAAACACCATGTGAGTCCCGCACAGCATTTCAATTTAACACAACGTGACTTTTGGTCAAACACCATGGAAGTGCCGCACAGCATTTCAATTTAACACGACGTGCCTTTTGGTCAAACACCATGGGAGTCCCGCACAGCTTTTCAATTTAACACGACGTGCCTTTTGGTCAAACACCATATGCTTTTAAAGTCGAAAGGTGTTGGAAAACGTCAAACGTCATGTGTCATGTCACGTGGGTGGTCGAAGTCCCTCGTTACTCAAACATCACTTGGGTCGAACATCCCACGGGTCGCACAACGGATGGGTCCAATATCAAATTGTTGTAACGCCGACCCGGGCGATAACAAAATACTGGCCAGACATTTGTGGGTTGAGAAATCGCATGGATTTAAACCGCATTCGGTCGAGCACAACAACGTACTTTTAAATCCCTGACTTTCTTAGTAAATAAAATAGTCGAAGAAGATATTGCTGTTTGGGCTTGAGAAGAACAGACAGGACAATTAAACCGACGTTTCGGCAAGATGCCTGCTTCATCAGACACTACAAAACAAGAAACAACTGTTACTTTATATTTTATAAAAAAACCATTAGAATGAAATTTAAAAAAAAAAAAAAATATTTTGCAAACACTTAATAAAGTCAATGAAGGTCAGTGTTCCGGGCAGGAAGCGCCCTGTGGTATTTCTTTAATAACAAGTTCTGAGGATGTCCGTCTCGTCTCTTAGTTGTGGTGATGATGCTTTTTCCTCAAAGCCTTAGCTAATCAAGAAAAATAAAGGTAGGTCCAGCCGTACAGTTTAAGACGTTAATACCAAAAGCGATAAGCGATAAAGATTTGTTTTTATTGTAATGACGTAAGTTGCCTTGGCAACTATTATATGTGGGTGGGGATACTTTTAAAAAATTTTTAATCCTTATGAATCTAGATCAGACCTGCACAACTCAAAATGTAAGGCGGGCAGTAATATTTTATGCAAAACTTGTGTGGGCCAAAAGAAAATAGGACAGGACTTGTGGGAGCCAAAAGAAAACAGGACATGGGGGAAAGCTATTAAGAAAATAATAAGAATAAAGAATAATTTGTTACTTAACGGGCCGGAAAGTGGGTGCTGGTGGGCCGCATGCGGCTCGCGGGCCGTATGTTGTGCAGGCCTGATCTAGACGAATCCAAATGAATCCAGATGAAATTTGTTAGCGATCTGGGTATAATGCAGATCCTTTTCTAAAAGATCCAAGAGCAGATAATTTTGTTTAAGATCACGTAGCAGATCTCTTATCTTTAAGTTCACTTAACAGATCCTATTTTTTCAAGATCAGTGAGCAGATCCGTTTTGTTGAAGTTCACCGAGAGCTTCCGGGTCGTCTGCGCATCTAATTTAACGCAGTCAAGAACGCGGTCTTGTGATTGGTCATCAACCTAAGGGAGATTAACTCTCCCGGCAACATATGTTATGGTGAAACTTAAGATAGCGTTAGTCGCATTTTAAAAATATTTTTATTTTTTAAAGGGGAATTAAAACTTCAACGAAACACATTATCTCAGTGAAAATATAAGTTCTACTTAAATATAGCAAAGCTCAGTCGATTTCTAAATAGAACAGTTCTCACGCTTCATCACTGAATACTCCCGTTTACTTAATTCTCATGAAGACGAATATTGAAGCTAGAATTTAACCGGGTGCAGTTTGTTTTTTTTTACTCCGGGTATTTTGAGAATATACCCGGTGGGTCCGAGTGTCACAACAAAGATTTAACCTCTCATACATTATACATAATAGTCCTACAGCCAGTCCTACACCTTGCCTTACCTGCCGGCTTTTAAAAAAATAGTCCTACAGCCAGTCCTACACCTTACCTGTCAGCGTTTAAACAAGAGTCCCACGGACAGTCCTACACCTTACCTGCCGGCTTTTAAACAATAGTACCACATACAGTCCTACATCTTACCTGCCGGCTTTTAAACAATAGTACCACATACAGTCCTACACCTTACCTGCCGGCTTTAAAACAATAGTCCTACGGACAGTCCTACACCTTACCTGCCGGCTTTTAAACAATAGTCCTACCGGCAGTCCTACACCTTACCTGCCGGCTTTTAAATAATAGTCCTACAGGCAGTCCTACACCCTACCTGTCGGTATTACCTGTGGGTTTTAAAAAAGAATCCTACGGTCAGTCCTACCGACAGTCCTACTACACCTACCGACAGTCCTACACCTTACCTGCCGGCTTTTAAAAAATAGTCATACCGGCAGTCCTACACCTTACCTGCCGGCTTTTAAATAATAGTCCTACAGGCAGTCCTACACCCTACCTGTCGGTATTACCTGTGGGTTTTAAAAAAGAATCCTACGGTCAGTTCTATCGACAGTCCTACTACACCTACCGACCATACCCGTGGCTCTTTCTTGATTAATGTAATAGTCGTCTCCGAAAAAAAAAATTCAACAATTTTTCCAGAGGTCAAACGTCTCGCATGACCGCTCAATGCGTGGCACTTTTTTTTTTCTCTCTTTTCTTTGGTCCCCACTCACCACTATTAATCTAAAAAAATGTTGTGTAAGGGAAGGGCCATTTGAGACTAGGAAGCTGTCACACGAGAAGCAAAATACATATAAGAGATATGCATATACTCGACAAACAAACAGAGTTAATGAATGAGATTTTATATCGTTAGACCTGCAATAAAGCAGTAGAGTGGTTTTTCCCCATTAAAGTGCCGGTCTGCGGGCCTTACACTTCCGGTCCGCCCACCATAAATATTTATGGTAAAATAAAAATGAATACGCCTGGCACCGGTCCCTGGTACAATTTTAAAACGTGTCCATTGGTCCCCACCACATCTTAAAAGGGTGATAACTCTGTGGTAGAGCAATGCATTACTTCTTTTTTCCAAGTACATCCCTGCCGTTTGAATGTCAAGGCCATCCCGAGAACACGCAAATGAATTATTTAAAAAAAAACCGGACTAGACTATTGATGATTTTTTTCTATGATAATATTTTAATTTTAAAAAAAATATCCTCTTTATCAATTTAAAAACGGTATATTTATATTTCTTTGTAGATCGAAATCCAAATTTTATTTTTAATTTTCTTAAATCTTTTAGTTAATTTGTTTTAGGGTGTGGGGGTGGGTAGAGGGGATGAAGGGAAAAGTGGTGTGTGTGTGTGTGTGGGGGGGGGGGGGTGGTACATTTAGAAATCACAACACTGTATTGCCCCCACCCACATCAAATAACGGCTTTTGATCAAAGGTTCAGCTATTGTGACCCGAGGAAAAAAAGAAAAAAAAAGGATTAGCTGGATAATCTGCGACTTGGTCTTGTTTGTGTGAGTTGTTAGACACGTCTTCTCTGCTGTCGAGCCGTGTGTGTGTGTGTGTCAGAGATCAGTTTGTTGAAGAGACCAACTATGCGGACCATCTTCTTATTGTTGGGCTTGTTGGTAGGTGATTTTTGTTCTCTTTTGTTTTGTCATGAACTTATAGTGATAAACTTGTTAAATAGTTCTTTAAGATTAAAAGACAAAAGAAAAAAAAAATCAACTACATTCTATACCCTTAGTCATTCCAGTTAAGTAAATGACTTGTTTTTTCTCATCGGTTCCACAATTTCAAATTATATTTGCTCAAACCGTTTAGTAATAAAATCTATTTAATAACTGTAAGGGCATGAAAAAACCCAACGGACCAACAAAGAAACAACAACAACAAAAATCATTTTAAAAAGTTAGTCAATTTAATTTTAGTTTCACTCTTACAGTGTGTTCCCGAGAAATATAAAGAATTATTATTATTATTCCTCCCACTCAGAGGCAACCAAAAAAAAAACGATTTTAAAAAAAATATTTTTTTTTGAATTACTTTTCAATAAAATCAATTCAAAATGTATTTTAAAAAAAAAATAATAATAATAATAATAAAATAAATAAAAATTAACTTTAAATGACATAGTTGGGACAACATGGCAATGACTTTGACAAGCAAGGAATGTACTCTCTAACTCCGAAAAAAAAAGGAGCACCGATGTCACTGTCCGGTGATGTCTCGCTTTATGCACTAGAAATATTTTCTCTCTCTCTCTCTCTCTCTCTCTGTATATATATATCTCTTTAATGTTACGTTGATGAAATACATTCAATACATTCTCTCTGTTTATCTCACTATACTCCCCCCCCCGCAATCTCCACCTTACTCATTATCGCTCTCCCCCCCCCCTCGACCTGTTGTGCTTGTCTTTTATCAATCACTTTGAACATACGTTTCCAATCAAGTCTTTTTAATGTTACGTTGTTGAAATACATTCAATACATTCTCTCTGTTTATCTCACTATACTCCCCCCCCCTCAATCTCCACCTTACTCATTATCGCTCTCCCCCCCCCCTCGACCTGTTGTGCTTGTCTTTTATCAATCACTTTGAACATACGTTTCCAATCAAGTCTCAAATTAAAATGTCAAAATATGCATTAAAATCAAATTTGGAATGTGCACCAATTTTTTTTAATTTTTAAATTTATTTTTAACAGTTTTATTTTAAATGTGCATCAAATAAAATTTAAAAAAATGTTCTTTAAAAACAATATTGGACGGGACAACGGTTGTCGGATTATATTTTAAAAAAAAAATTAATAAAATCTTAATTTTTATTAAAGTGATGTGCTTAAAAAGACTTAAGTAATATTTTTGCAGAACGTCAATCAGTTATACCCCCAAAAAGTAGTCTTTAGAGCGCATTTCACATTGGCGGAAACAGATCATTACTTCAATTTCATAATGCGTTTCTATGGCCATTAGATCAGGGGCGTCATCTCAGGTTTTTTTTTCAGGGGTTGGGAGCGACACCAAAACTTGGTCAGCTTGTTAAGTTGTTCATTAGTGGAGGCGCCACAGTACACAGCCATTTAAATAAAACCTACGAATTTCAAGAGGGTGGGTGGGGGGGGATGCCCCACCCTGCCATGCCCAAATAACGTCCCTGCATTAGATGACTGCTTATAATTTAACGCTGAATCCGATTCAGCGTATTCTACACTAAAACCCAAACATCGTGGTGTCCACGGACTAGTCGAAAGAGCGAGGCCACCCGATGATTTCTGTTTCACGGCCTAAGTGATTGGTCATGTCAGATTTGCTATATACACATCTCTATTTATTAACTGCACTATAGTAATCCAATCCACCAGGTTAATACACATCTACATTTATTAAATACGCTAGTAATCCAATCCACCAATTAGTTGAGCTTTATACACATCTATATTTATCAACTGCACTAGTAATCCAATCCATCAATAAGTACTTGCTTTATGCACACTTACATTTATTAACTGCGCTAGTAATCCAATCCATCAATAAGTACTTGCTTTATGCACACTTACATTTATTAACTGCGCTAGTAATCCAATCCATCAATAAGTACTTGCTTTATGCACACTTACATTTATTAACTGCGCTAGTAATCCAATCCACTAATAAGTATTTGCTTTTTACACATCTATATTTATTAACTCCAATCCACCAGTTAGTACTTACATTTATCAACTACGCGAGTAATCCAATCCACTAATAAGTATTTGCTTTTTACACATCTATATTTATGAACTGCGCTAATAATCCAATCCACCAGTTAGTACTTACATTTATCAACTACGCGAGTAATCCAATCCACCAGTTAGTACTTACATTTATCAACTACGCGAGTAATCCAATCCACCAGTTAGTACTTACATTTATCAACTACCCGAGTAATCCAATCCACCAGTTAGTACTTACATTTATCAACTACGCGAGTAATCCAATCCACCAGTTAGTACTTACATTTATCAACTACGCGAGTAATCCAATCCACCAGTTAGTACTTACATTTATCAACTACGCGAGTAATCCAATACAAAATATGTTTTATATTGTGTCTACATCTCATAGACCTTGTTCTTTCTATCGTTCTTTCTTTCGTTCTTTCTTTCGTTCTTTCTTTCGTTCTTTCTTTCGTTCTTTCTTTCGTTCTTTCTTTCGTTCTTTCTTTCGTTCTTTCTTTCGTTCTTTCTTTCGTTCTTTCGTTCTTTCTTTCTTTCTTCTCTTTCTTTCTTTCTTTCGTTCTTTCTTTCGTTCTTTCTTTCGTTCTTTCTTTCTTTCTTTCGTTCTTTCTTTCTTTCTTCTCTTTCTTTCTTTCTTTCTTTCGTTCTTCCTTCCTTTCTTCCTTTCTTTCTTTCTTTCTTTCTTTCTTTCTTTCTTTCTTCTCTTTCTTTCTTTCTTTCTTCCGTTCTTCCTTCCTTTCTTCCTTTCTTTCTTTCTTTCTTTCTTTCTTTCTTTCTTTCTTTCTTTCTTTCTTTCTTTCTTTCTTTCTTTCTTTCTTTCTTTCTTTCTTTCTTTCTTTTCTTTCTTTCTTTCTTTCTTTCTTTCTTTCTTTCTTTCTTTCTTTCTTTCTTTCTTTCTTTCTTTCTTTCTTTCTTTCTTTCTTTCTTTCTTTTCTTTCTTTCTTTCTTTCTTTCTTTCTTTCTTTATTTCTTTCTCTTTCTTTCTTTCTTTCTTTCTCTCTCTGTGTCTACACATCTGTATATCTTTATGTCGGTTTTCTGTAAGTTAAAATTATTTAAACACACCCCCGGATTATTCAAAGGTTTCCCGTGACACGAGTTTCACCTATGACACGATACTCTCATTTTGACGTCATTCTCCAGGTCCTGTTCGTGACCATCAGTCCCTCAGAGCAGCGTCGGCGCTTTCCGAAACACAGAAAACCAGCACCCCAACAGGCGGCCCCGCCGAGCAATGAGCCGGAGCCGGAGCCGACCGAGAGCGAGTTCGACCGTCTCAGAGAAGAGGTGGAGCGCCAGTTTTTCCTCAACAGCAACCCAAAGATCAGGTACCTCAAGAAGATGCTGAGGGACGAGCTCGTCGAGACGACGGTCCCACCGCCCCCAGAACCAGAGGACGAGTGCGGGGGGTGTGGAGCCGGCCACTATTGCCACCCGTTCCACCCGGACTGCGAGGCCAGCGCGAACTGTGCTGAGGTCACCTACGTCTGCTCGCCCGTCAGAACGACCACCGAGGAGCCGGTAGTCAGCTACTAGAAGGTTGGAGGCCCCCCCACGCTCTCGGAGTCGTTTCGATGTTCGAGGCAGTTTTGGGCGTAAATCATTGAAATTTGAATGTTTTAAAACATCCATTAAAACACAAACTAACAACGACTTTACTTATCATACTTTTTACTTAACCTAAGAATATTCTAAGAATGAATCGCTTGTTTGCTTTAGGCATTGAGATGGGATTACGACCCCCCTAAAGAGAGAAAAAAAAAATATTGAGAAAAGAGCTCAATGGGTTGATTCATATCATTTACTCTTTCATGTCATTTTTGGTTGTCATGGTTTCGCTTAGTAGACATGGATTGGATGACAAAACCGTGAATTGATAGAAAAGAAATTATTCAGAGTAAAAGTATGAGTTGTATTTTTTTTTCTTAGAAAGTATCTTTTTAGGACTTACTGGAATCGAGTTTAAAAACAGGAAACATAATTTTTGTAACCAACCAAAATTGGAGAAACAAAAAAAGTAGGTGACAACCATGGGCAAGCTACTTGGTTTTACATAAATTTGGACGTACCAGTGAAACAATTTGTTTTGAGGCTAACTAATAAAATTAATCATCAAAAATAGAGGATTAAATTCTGTAAGAAACATTAAAAAAAAAAATTAAATGAACGAAGGCCGCAAGAATCGATGACGTCATTTTAGACAAATACCATGTGATTTCCCTCTTAAATGATGGATGTAAATAAATAATGTTTACAGTTTCTTACGTTTTTTAACCACTTTTTATTAACTTCCTGTGACGTATCTTTTTTTCCGTATATGCACGCGCGCACACTCACACAAACACATCACATGCCCATTCATACACAAACATCACCGCTCATTCACACATGCACACAATCCCCGCCCCTAAACACATATCACATAAGAACACGTATTTTTTCTCCCCCCACAATTGGCACGAATATATATATATATATATAGATATAGATATAGATATATACACGCGCACATACACCCACGCATACATGCGCACGCACAAACACACATACAGAGTGTAAGACAGAGAGAGAGAGAGAGAGCAAGAGAGAGAGAGAGAGAGAGAGTGCAACTGTGCCTTATCGAACACAAATGCTAACAAATCTGGTTCATAGAAGAAAACATTGTATTTCATTGGGTTCAATCTGAATTTTTTGTTTGTACCCTTAAGTTAACTATTTGAAATAAGTTACCAAAATTATGATGGTGCTCACAGAAGGCCAGAAGTCATGTGATAAGACAGTACAGATATTGATAGAAGATAATTCATTACAATGTATCTAAACTATACAGCAACAAAACAAAACAAAGAATTGTAGACCAAGTTTAGGTGTCACAACAAAGACATTATAGTGGAATAATATGAATTTATTTTTTTTTCTAAATGTTCGAAAACAAAGAATGACGTAAGCTAATAATAAACGAGGAAGTTTGTATCAATAGAACTTCGGTTAAATAATTCAAATATTTTTTATTAAAGAAATAATAATTAAGTGCAAACTTTTCAATTCATAACGTTATGATGGTTATGTCAAGACCAAGGCCCGCGGGTCGTATTCAGTCCTCCAAGTTTTCTCGTGTGGCCATAAAAGAAGAGGATCGTCAACGACCGCCATGTAAGACGACGTTTACTAATAGACGGGTATACATGAAATGGGTATACTTTCCAGGGGCAAGTAAGTAAGTATACATTTACTGATGCCCTTACACGTTGAAATGGTTCAAATGAACGCTTACGATGGAGTTGATTGTATTCTTCTTCTTTCTTTCGCTTCTGCCTACAGACGAGAGAAAAGGGGGGGGGGGGCTTGGTCCGCCCCGGAGAGCAGGGTACTGTTGGCGATCTGCCGCAAGGTTTAAGGCCCACTGCAGTTTTATGTCATTCCACTTTTAGGGTGACCATAACGACGTCAATCACCGAGAGGGTGGTCTTTCATCCTTGAGTGTCCAGCGTTCCGAGCAGGTCAACAATTTTTTCCAATTTCCCGTGTAAGAGCGTACAAGTTGATGTTTACGACTCATCGTACCACACACCACACACACACACACACTCACACGCACACACACATATATATATATATATATATATATATATATATATATATATATATATATATATATATAAAAATGTGTATATATCTTTTGTATATATATTTGGTGTGTCTGTATTCTGGGTTGGCTGTATATTAATCATTGCTAAACACCGGTGACCCGTGCAGGAGGGTTTAGAAGGCGCGTTAAATTTAAAAAAAAAAAAAAAATTAAATCAAAATGTTGACGTAGACACTATTTCGTGTTTTATTTTCCCCTTTATATTTAAAATTTGACAAAATCGATTGGAAAAGGATCAGCACGTTTTCTGGATGAAGCATGTGTAGTGTTCGTTTTTCTTTTGTTTTTGTTGCGGGTGTGTTATTTTGTTAAGGGGATGTTGGCCGCGGGGGGCCGGGGGGCCGGGGGGCCGGGGATGGGGGGGGGAGTGGACTGACGACGGTGTTAAACAACGTTATATATCGGATTTGAATGACATTTACGTTTCATCATAATTTTTTTTTCTTTTTTAAAGATCCTTTATATTAAGTTCGCTCGCTGGCAATAATCTTTGAACTGCTAATTGGCCTTCTTTCCGTCAACACATCGAGCTGAAACTTGGCACATAGTCTCGTTGCCGGTGACAATGCTTTCTCTCAACTTTTTCAGCCCCCCCCCCACCCTCTAACCCCAAACCCCAAACCCCCCCACCCCCCCCCCCCCAAAAAAAAATAAAAAAAATAAATATAAATTAGTTTTTGCCAATTTTTCAAGGGGAGAATGAAGAACATATGATGGCGTTGATTTCGCGAAATAAAATATTACATGAGATTCTTTAAAAAAAAAAAAAAAATTGCAACTGCTTTTGGTGCATATTTTCTATTTTCATTTTTTTTTGTTAAAGGAAATATGTGGTGAAATAAATCTGCGATGTGGGGCACTAGAATATTAATGTAATATAAAAAAAAATGCAGATAGAGTATTTATAGCAAAATTTTTCTTAGGGGCAGTTTAATTTATAACCTTCTCTCTTGGATGGACATCACTGTCTTATAACAAGGGAATCGTCACCAAATGTGAGTTTGGCACTACGTCAGCAATACCAGCGACCACCATGGTTCAGAAGAATCGAGATGGCGATTAAAGATGACTGGGTACAGAGCTTATAGCACGTGTATACAAAGGGGACGTTTTTTCGAGGGAAGCTCGTTTGAACGGAAGTCGTTACTAGAGACCGACCGAAAGTGATTTTCTGATTTCGGCCGAAGCCGAAAATAGGCCGAACGTTTAAAATGAATTTCGACCGAAACCGAACGTAGCCCGAAAGTTTAAAAATGACTTTTGGCCGTAACCGAAAAAAGGCCGAAAGTTAAAAATGACTTTCGGCCGAAACCGAAGCCGAAACCGAAAATGAAATATTTAGATATTTTGAACTTCGTTCCCGCATACATTCTGCATACATCGCAAATGATGGGGATAAGTATAAATATTTACATTCTTTTTATAAAAAAATGAGATAATCGTGAATATTAATAACTAAAGATCTAATATAACATCTTGTTGTTAAAGATAGTTTAGTTTGTTCATAAAGATCGATTAGTTTGTTATTAAAGATCTTGATTTTGTTCTTAAATATCGCTTAGTCATTCTTAAAGATCATTAAGTTTGTTCTTAAAGATCATTTAGTTAGTTTTGATTGATCTTTTAGATTGTTATTAAAATCGTTTAGATTGTTCTTAAAGATCGCTTGTTTTGTTGTTGAGGATCGCTTAGTTTTTTCATAAAGATCGGATCACTTAGTTTGTTCTTATAGATAATTGATTTTGTTCCTTAAGATCGATTAGTTTGTTCTTAAAGATCTTTTAGTTTGTTACTAAAGAACATTTAGTTTTATGTTAAAGATCGCTTAATTTATTCTTATAAATCATATAGTTTACTATTAAAGATCATTAGTTTTGTTGTTAAAGATCATTTATTTCGTTCTTAAAAATCGCTTACTTTGTTCTTTAAGACCGTTTAGATTTTTATTAAAGATCGCTTAGATTGTTCTTCAAGATCGTTTAGTTTGTTCTTAAATGTCGCTTAGTTTGTTGTTAAATATCGTTTAGTTTGTTCTCAAAGATCGCTTAATTAGTTCTTAAAGATCGCTTTTTTTGTTTTTAAAGATCACTTTATTTGTTTTTAACGATCGTTTAGTTTGTTCTTAAAGATTGTTTTGTTTGTTTTTAAATGTCGATTAGTTTGTTGTTAAATATCGCTTTCGCTGAGTATTAGATGACCGAAAACCTCAGTCAAATATTATTATTAAAGAAATAATAATTAAGTGCACACTTTTCAATTTGTTATGAAAAAAAACCGAAAGTTAACTTTTCTCTTTCGGCCGAAACCGAAAATAAGCCGAAAGTTAACTTTCAGATTCGGCCGAAACCGAAACTTGGCCGAAAGTGATAAAATGGCCACTTTCGGCGCCGAAACCGAAGCCGAAACCGAAATTCGGGCGGTCTCTAGTCGTTACCATCGAACATTGGAATTTTAAAAAAATTTCTTACATATCTATGCATCTCCCCTGTGTTTGACAGCAGACCGTGTATATCTATGCATCATCCGTGTGTTTGATTGTAGACCGTATTTCCATACAAGCGCTTGATTGTAGACCGTATTTCCATACAAGCGCCCTGCGTTTGCCTGTAGACCGTGGATCTATCCAATCCCCTGTGTTTGACTGTAGCACTTACATCTTTGCTGTGACCAAACACAATGTAAACTCCGATCAATGGTATTACGGGATTAACCACGCCCTATAGTTGTCTATTTTCATGGCTTTTTTTTCTTTGTCCACTCTAGAAAAAAGTTGGTGGGGGATGTGTGTGGAAATCCAAGTATGTCATGTTGTCCAAAAGAGGCTCTGGCCTTTAGAATAGAGCGCGATCAAACTACCTGGGCCAGGTGGCCGAACTGTTAACACAGATTACAGAATTGGTTTCGGCGGGTTATGACTAGTTCATTGAACTCACGAAGTCCGATGCAATTCTTTATCAATGCGTATTAAGAATGGGGGCGTCACGTGTATTGACTTTTCTTTTTGAAACAAAGAAGACGATAGATAGAGCAGCGTTACCATGTGCCCCACTAACATTGCCGGTCTGCGGAGAATATGCAGATGTATCTTCAAATAAAAAAATAAAATATTATTAATGAATTAATCTGCCACCGGTCCCTGTTCCAAAGTCGAAACTTGGCCGCCGGTCAGCCAAACTGAATAGTTTGGAACACTGTGTGTGACAAAGAGAATTAGATTATTGGAAACCTATCCGAAATGTAAAACAAAAGGGGGGAAAAAAAGGAAGAAGAAAAGGATGATATAACAATAAAAGTTACATTTTTAATGAGAAACCGAATTGACTATTGAATCATCACGATAAATTCAGCTTTTATGAGTGGTAATGTCAGCTTTAAGGCAGTCAAAGTGTGACAATGACAGCCATTAGAGCCATCCAGGTGTGGCAATGTCAGCTATCAAAACCATTCAATTGTGGCAATCAGAGTCAGCTTTATGAAAGCCATCCAAGTGTGGCAATTTCAGCTATATCAAAGTCATTCAAGTGCGGCAATGTCATCTATTAAA